GATTCTTAGACAGGGCTGTAAAGACCAGGATAACCACAGGCAGCTGGAAAACTCAGAGAAGACGAGAAATGGACTTCTGCTGAGTGGAGACTCACATGGACGGGGACAGGGAAATCACTCAGGGGCACTAAGAGATGTAGCAGGTGGATGGGATCCCTTTGGGTCAATGACAGCTGCCTCCCCAAGGCGCACAGCTGCCATGGGCATCAAGTGGAGGCTCTCGCGTGTGTTCTTCCCTCCCTGCTGCTCATAGTGTCCACAACACAGGCACCAGGGAGAAGGAAACCCTCCAGAGGTGGCACCATCCTGGTCGTCACACAAACAGGGATGGGAATGAATCCGTGAGAGCTGCTCAGATCCCAGAAAGGTCACACAGCATCCAGTTCCCATGTCTTCCTTTCCAATGGACCACAAGTCTGCCCTGGCGGTGGACATCAGCCCACAATGAAGCACATTATTTTGCAGGAGGAAAGGATTTCTAAAAGAACTCAAGGCCACTGTATACATATGGGGACTCCCAACTCATATGCTTCTGTCTGGTCCAAGCTCCTTCCCACCGGTTCAGATCAACTCCATCCCCTGTTGCCTGGTCCCAGCACAGCGTGGCCCCTCTCAGATGATTCCATGAGCATCAGAGACCCTCAGTCCACAGCCCTTTACAGAGCTTTCCACCACCCGTGAGGACCTGCCCCGAGCGAATGCTGTCAGGCTGACCTCAGGCACCCACTGCAACCCTGGAAAGGGTGTCTCAGGCCACAGGGAGGTCATGGCAGGTGAATGGGTAACTCCAGGCCACCACCAAGAGAGCCCATCAACACGCAGACCCTGGAAAGGCAGGACATGGGCAAGGACATGCCCATTCTGATGGAAGATCTGTGCTCTTTTTTTGCAAAAGTAGAAACAAGAGAGCAGTAGACTCTTCGGGAAATGTATATGAAAGAACATTCTAATGAAATGACCTCCACTGCGGCTGACGAGCACAAGAGCCACAATTCTGGGCAACTTAGAAAAGCCAATTTGAGACACCTGCTTTTGGAATTCCAGTAACAATTTGAGGCAGTTTAATCTTCAGTGAAAGGATGGGTTTTCCTTCTGAGTCCAGCAAGTCCCCTCTCCACTCCAGTTGTAAGAGTATAAAACAACTCAGACATAATGCATTATTTCATATTTCAGAATTGTAGCATGTTAAGAGCTCCGCTCTGAAAGACACAGCAACTTTAAAAAAATAAGCTATATCATACGTTCATAATGTTAAAGTTTTGTGAAAACAAAAGACCCTCAGGTCTTCCCCTCACTGCATTAGGTCTGCACATCTGCTTTAAAAGTGGAGGCAATTTAAGCCCTTGTTGATGTGACTAATAAAGTGAGATAATTGGATTTGCGGTGGATTAAACAGCAGCCAACCATCCCCCGCAATGCCCCAGAAGCTCTGGGATGGAAGGGCAGGCGGGGCGGCTGTGCCCTGGCCTGCTGCACACGTGCCCTCACTACACAGTCACCCACATCACCTGTGAGCATAGGGGCCATCCCGCGTGCTTCGGGAAGACCAGCCGGCAGAGGATGAGTTGTACTTAGAGCAGAAAGAAGTTAGAAAAGACGGAAAGAGCAAGTCAAGAGACAAATGCTGTGGTCCAGGAGAGGCCAGGACTCGCGCAGCAGCGACCGGGTGGAATGGACGGGTGCTGTAGGTGAGACAGAGGAGGGACTCACCAGTCGTCACAGCTGACTGACACCGAGGCCAAGGGAGCAAGCAAAGGCCAGGCCGGTGTGACCCAGAAAACCAAGTGACAAGGAGACCAGTAGAAAGGGGGACGATGCTGTGGGTTTGGGGCATTTCACCTAGTGGGGGGGCCAACCCCACAGAAGGGAATACTGATCTTTTCCCAATTCATAGGAAAAGATAGACATAGGAGAGAGATTCTTTTACAAGTTTTAGTTTTTTTGCCTTCATTTAAAAAACCTTCAGTTTTTGCAATCCCTTGTCTAGAGAGGTCCAAGCAGATGACAGCACAAATGAACAAACAGCCAGTAACTATTAACCAAAAATGCAAGCAGCTGACCACGCGCAGCCTGGGAGTGGGTTCCAGGCAAGGCATGTTTTGTGCTAGTGAAATTGCTGGTAGCTTATGAGATGGAATTAAAGGTACATAACTACCTCACAGTATTATTTAAAAAATGTTTGGCTTTCTGGAAAGATGTCTCCCAATATTGGACAGATTTTAAGGCTTCAATGGGGAAGACAGTGTTTGGAACGGAGGCAAAACTTCTGTGGCCTCATTAACTTCAGAGCATTTCCCAGCAGCCCTGGGGCCCCTGTAAATTGGGGGAAATGAAGCACTTCCTCAGAAGATTGTTGTAGGATATTTTAAAGCTAGAGTTAGGCAGCAATGAGACAAAAAGAATGTGAGGAAGAAAGGGAACAATTCAGAAACCAAACTCTTACTCATCTCTCTCTAACTGCTCTTGACCTTATTTTAACCCAAATGACGAATATGATGTTTTAAAGACTTCTGATCTTAGTTTTCTGTAATGGTGACATTTACCTACATGAAAATACTCCCCCTCCTCCCTTTGCCTGATTCTTTAACAGCAATTTTTTCACAAAATCCTTCTTTGGGCTTGATTTATATATAATTCAAAAAGTCAGATGACTTTTCTGCCTAGGAAAAAGCATTTTAAATGATAACTCACGATTCCAGTGAGTTGGCAGTGAAACTGGGCCCAGGATTTAGTGCCAGCAGAGATGGGTCGAATCTTATGGCAATAACATCAAACAATTCGGCAATAATGTCAAAAGTTACAAAAGTATTTTGAATCAGTAATTGCATTTTTGAGAAGGTATATTGGGAAAGCTTTCAAACTAAATTCCAGCTGTATGCATGAATGTGTTCACTGCACATTCACAGTAGTGAAAATCTGCAAACAACCTAAATGCACAGCTACAGGGGATGGATATGTAAATGACAGTAGCTTCATTTTATGAAATGTTATGCCATCATTAAAATCATGGTGACTATGTTGTAATTAAGGCAAATATCTTTGATATATTGCCAAACAAAAAGAACATAACTAAAAATCCAGACATAATGTTTACATTACATTATCTATGTACAAAGACTGATCGTGGACCAGAGAAACAAAAACAGCTGTTCTTTATTAAATGACTTCTCTTTAACATTACAAAAAATAAATGTAAGGAGAACTTCTGCTCCCATGAAAAGAAAGAAAGGGAGGAAGGAAAGAAGGGAGGAAAGTATAGAGGGAGGAGTACTAATACCACTCTACCCTGCCCAACTGACATTACGTCATAATAAAATAACATACAGCCCTCTCTACTGCCCACTGTTGGAATGATATCAAAACAATAATCACCAGTCACCTTATAAACTGCCTAGCGGATCAAAGTACAAAAAACAAATGATGACATCCCAGCCAGGTGTTAGGATCCTTTGCAGTGGGTTTTGGAGCACAGTTGTGAGTGTGTAAGGGAAATAACTCCTCCGACAGTCAGATCCTGCTCAGCTCATGCACACTCCTCCCAGGCTTCGGGGACCAACCCCAGAGGAACGGCCATGCCCAGGTATGCAGCGCTGGGCCTGGCGGTCCTCAGATGCTGGGGACTCACCCTGCAGGCTGTCCCTGTGCCCCACAAAGACCCAGAAAGAGGCTGAGCTTCCAGCCTTGCAATAAGAGCAATATCAAGGGACATTTTTTATGGTGTCAGACACTGTGCTAAGGGCTTTATCGTTCTGATTTTATTTCATTATCATAACACCCCTTCCTGGCAGATTCTATTTTATACCATGTTACTTAGATTTAGAAACTTAAAGATGTTGAGTGATTTGTTCAAGACCCAGGTAGTACGTTGCTAAGCCTGGGAATCACAGTCTACCGGACTTCAGACTTCATCTAAACTCAATTCTTATTCACAGTGTGGAGGGTGTTTCTGTTTTGTATCTCTCTTTTCTGTTCTAGGAAATAGCAAAATTGTTTTTCATGAATATTGCCTTCATGCAATATAAAGACTGACCAATGAAAATCTACAAATTATTCAAAACTTTTTTCAATAATAAAGTAAAATGTAAGGAAAATCTGCCCTTTAAATATTAGATCCTACTAAAATCATACTACCTTGATCGATGAAGTTTTGATTTCTCTCTAGTATAAAAATTGTCTCAAAATTCCACAAAAATCTATGTAAAAAGCTCAGTATATGCATTTCCTTGAATTGCTATAACATTTTTTAAAAGGTAGCTTTCAATTCAGAGGATTCCCTGCTATTTGGGATTGGCTTGTTCCTCCTATAAAGCATCATGGCCAAACCATTAGTGCACTAATGAGAAATGTGAGTACGTACGTGTGTGAGCATGTACCTGTATACGTGTATATGTGGGTGTGTGTTCCAACCTGTAAATACACGAACACTATACTTATTTTCACGGATCCAGGGAAGGAAATTTTGTTACTTCTCAAGCATAAGTTATTCAGAGTTCATCCTTCATGTTGCTACAGTATGTTTTGAGCACTTTACATACACTTTCTTTGAGGAATTTTCATGAATTCCATTGCACAGGTAAAAAACCGAAACACACATGTGAAAGAATAAAAAAAAAAACTTCAGATTTCAAAATAATGTAACTGCAATAAGCAGCCATTCTGAGAGAATAAGATAAATAACATTTAATCAAACACTACAAGTGCACATACCAAGGAGGGGGAGAAAGAGACTTTTATCCAGGGTTTAATGGGTAAGTATATCCAGATTAAAATAAGTAAGTAAAAGCTAAAAATTGAGAATAATTCTCCCTAAAATCGAGGGCAAAGAATGATAAGCTTCTTCAATAAGGAAAATCATAGGTTTTTTCTCTCTTAAGCTGTAGGGAATTATGTTTTCCATGTTCAGCACTTTTAACTCTAGAATTATCTAAAGTTTCTTTCAAGGTTTTCAGGTGTGTCCCCTTCATTTCCCCAGGCCACTTACCGCACATCTCTGTCCTTACCATTTGGAAGCTTCGGGTCGAATGAAATTCACACTGCATCATATCAAAGAAGATGGGGATCGTGGCTTTGCGCAGTTCTGTCTCAGGAATTAGTGTCATTTCTAAGATTGGGCCCACCATTTCTGGAATGAACTTTATCTTGTGTTGACCTTGGAATAAAGAAATACATTATTCAGACATTTTAAAAAAGGATTCGAAAATGTACAAAACAAAACACAGATCATTGTGACTTTCAGCAGGAAGCTCTTGGGAATGTGCATCCGTTTCTCAGCAGCAATTGAACATTTCCAGCATTCAACCTGTTCAAGGTGTTACAACATTTCACTTGTAACATTTGTATCCCACATGTTATAAGTGAAGCTAGTCAAAGATCCATACAATGTAAGCCCTGCAATCATGACTTGTCTATCCTAGAAGACAAACCCCCTTTCTGAAGTAGATAATTGTATCACATAGATTAAAGACAGGGGCATCTGATACTCAGTTTTGGATGGGGCAGGGGCTGGGAGTTGGGTGTCTCAGCATCTAACTTTGTGGACAATGAGGAGAACAGGATTCAACAAATGAGGGAGAGCAGATGGTCTCTTGGGTCCTTTCTGTCTACAAGATCTTACGAAGATGAGTTTGCAATTTGGTATCTCTGTAAATAATGCACAGTGATTTCTGTAACTTTCCAAATCACTATAATCAAAGCAAATCAAAGTGCAGGCATCACTATGAAACTGTAAAAATAGGAATGATTCTATTTTTTTCAGCTACTGTTTGATAGGAAAACGCTTATTGAAAGAACTACTTTATCAATCTCATCTCACCTATCTTGTTCAAGATAGGATTTTTATTCAGGGAAATATTTTACAAAAGTTTTTTTTTTTTTTAAACAAATAATATGGTCATTGTGAATAACAATGAATATTATAATACTAGCTAATGTTTACTGAGCACTTACTCCATGACAAGCCTAGTAGAAAGCATTATCTCACTGAATTGTCATGGTAACCTTCTGAGATGAGTACCTTCTTAGCTCATTCCACAGATGAGGAAACCAGGTTGTTTCCAAGGCTGTCGAAGGAGCTGTTCAGGGGACTGGAGGAGCAGAATTTAAACCTGGGCCTGAGATTCGACAGCCTCAACTGTGACCCTCATTTTACTGATTCCTTCCCTGTTTGCTTGTCATAGGATCTTGGACCCTCCCGTCCCCTCTGACAGCAACATGCGAGGGACCCACACCATGCCATGATTTGTCTCCTGTAATTGTAAATGACATGGAGGTCAGTGATCTTTCATTTTATCCAACATGGCTAGGATATTAGAATTCTCAAATAAATCCCCCAAGAAGTAGAGACTGGCTTCTTCCAAGCACCCAAACTTTTTTCCTTTGCTATTTCAATTTCTTTTGTTGGCAATCGTGGTTATCTTGCCTTTTCAGGCCTCTGTCTTTGATGTAGACAGATGCTAACTTAGAATGACCATTGGAAAATCCAACAACTGAGCAGAGAAGTCTGCAGATAGGCCTGACTCAGTGGTCAGCCCCTCCCTCCTGCTAGTTGTGGGGTTTGCTGCCACAGGGCACAGTGGCTCCCATGCCCTTTGGGTGGGCTGCTTCTAAGTTCCGAAGGACTGGGGGTGACATGGGTGAGCTTGAAGTGAGCGGAGGAACGTTTGCGAGACCGTAGAGCAAGGAAGCTGCAGCAACCACCAAGTTCTTTTCACTGCCTGGATGCTGTGCCTCTAGAAGGAAGCTGCTGGAAAACTCGCTTTTGAAGGGGCCTTAGCCTTATTTAAGGTGACATGATTACATTTAGCGGCAGGGCCTGTCAAGTGGTCTTTTAAGACTACTTTTAAAATCTTACCCTCTTGTCTTTAATTTCAGAAATCTTGACTTATTTTCATTTTGACCCACTATAACTAACATCATTTCATTTCTGACATATAGCAGAAGAATGCATAATAAATTAAATTCTTGAATGAAATATTTGCAACTTTTTAAAATTAACACCAGCGATTTATCCATAGTTATCAATCTTACTAATATTTTTACACATTCAGGAAACACAATGGATATTGTAAAGAATTTAGTTTTCTTTACAACTCAGCTAATATAGATTTCCAAGACCATTAAACAAATGTGGATAGTATAAATAACTGTACTTAAGAAAATATAGAATCCTCATAATTGGCCTAAATGAATTTTTATTGGGAGGACAAAATGTAACCTCCAATTAGGAATCTGAATATAATTAAAATCTTATTTTTAACTTTTACTAAATAATTAATATTTTGACTAAGGCTATCACAGCGTGATTCTCATCACTTCCCCAAATGCTTAATGTTTCTGAAAGGTGTGTAACTGCTGCAAAGCATTCTCTTGAAAATGCTATTATATCCAGTCTCTCAGGTGACGCTTTCCTCGTATTATGCCTAAAAAATGTCAGAGCTAATGTTTCAGAAAAGAGATGATGGTGACAGAGTGTTGTTCATCAACAACAATCTCAGTGTCATAAAGTTCTGCCTGTCACCACCAGGTTTTATTGTTCCAATGTAGGAGAAACATATCAAGCAGTAACAAGTGGTTGTAGAAGCAAGAATTGGAAAAATAAGGTACACAAATGAAGGTTTCTTCACCTTTGATCATTACCCTTCCTGTGAGTACAGAAGACCCATTGGTCTGAGCTGGTGCTGAGTTCTATGGATAGTGACATCCCTGGGGGTTTAACCCTCACAAACCAACAGTCCCCGAGGTGAGCAAGGCGTGGCGGGTGATGTTCCCTGGCATTCACCTGTTTCTCTCTCTCTCTTTTTTTTTTTACATTTGCATTATGAATTTCCCCTGGAGCAAATCTTGCTCAGATTTAATGATGAACTCAGGTCTGGAGTCAATAAGGATCAAGGTGAGTCCAGCAGTGTAGACTTCCAAAAAGAGAGGCTATACTTTTCTTGCTCCTTTTGAGATAAAAGAAGAGTCATCGGAGGATGAAGTGAGTATTTCACCTCGGGCCACCTTAACAAGTCTTGTGGTTGCCACTAGAAAATGCTCTAACCCCACCTGGAGCCTTTATGCCAGCTGCAGAGCATGGAGGGGCTTCCCCTGGGTAACGGCCCCTTGTTTTCTACCGGAGCCAGACCCTCCCCAGTCAGCAGCCTCCCCCTGGGTGTTTAAATTATCTCTTTACAATCACCAGTGTTAGAAATCTGGGACATAAACACAGTCTCCTCCGAGCAAAATCTCTAAATACACAAGGGCAGGCAGAGCGAAAAACTCCACCACCAGCCAAACAGATTAGGCCCCATTGTATATGGGTTTTTAATGAAAAGCACACAATTTTCCCAGCCCCCCGCCACAATACCCATGAAGGGAATCCTCACATGAAAAATATCCCAAACCGAACGCAGTGGATAAAGATCATGCTCTGAGCACATTTGCTGCAGCTGGATTGGGCACAGGGTGCGGGTTTAATAAACAAAATGTAAATCAAGGCAGCGCGAGATGAGGTGCTGCAGCAGGCTGCCTCCCAGACACGCTTTGATAAATAACTCAAGAGCTGGGTAAATAAGCACATTTCCCCCCTTTTTCTTTTGAGAAAGAGCCTGCTTTTGATTTCCCCTTTCAGACTCTACATATGACAGGTTGGAGAGGGAAAGAATCATGCTCCTCTGTCCCATGGGGCAGGGCCGTGTTCGCACTGGTATTAAATCGAGCAAAATAGACCCCAGGTCCTTGTTTCGCAGCTGGGCATGAAGGAGGCGCGATCTGAGATGCTCCTCTCAGCGAGTCGCACGTGTCATTGGAAAGGCTTAAGGAAGAAGCGGTTTTGTGGGGCATTTGGCTGAAGTCCTGATTGAGTGACAGGTGATAACTGTAAGATGATATATATATATGATTTCTATTTTTATTTTCTTGGCAGAGCCAGCTCTATCAGCCTGCCAGTCTGTTTCCAAACCCAAGCCCATTTAAAAAAATAAAAATAAAAAACCTGTATAGAAAATAGGCTGTGTACATCCTGGGAAGTCGAGATGTGCTGTCGTAAATTTCAAGGGTGGTGGCTTTGGCAATGACACTCCCAAACACCTGAGAGGAGAAGGAGCCAGGTGCCTGAGGTGACCCCATGGAGCCATCTGGAGGAAGCCTGATGCTTTTATTGTTATCTCTTTAACTTTTAAAAATAATTATTTTACAAAGGAAGAACCCAATCCTGGTGATTGTTATTTCTTGCTGTTTCCAAGTTCCTGCCCTTAATTGGCTATGGTCATGGTTTACTTTCAACCTCTTGGACACTTCCAAGGCCAGAGTGGACGTTCCCTGCTAAAAAGCTGCAAAACACACATCTTATGCATTAATCACCACATACAAATCAGCAACTGACAGGAAGGAACAGGGAAATGTGCTCTCTTAACTGCATCCTTTATGTTACAAATCATAAGTCTCTTGTCGCTTGACTTGGCCTATTTGGAGCATAATGACAGATAATGTCAAGAGAACCGACTGTTCTGAAAAGGCTTTAAAAATCAGAGGGAGACAGAAGTGTGTGTCCTGAGAAGGCTGGACCTTCCTGAGGGCTGGGAGGGGCACCACAGAGAAACGTGCCCTGCCCTGGGGCCCGTCTTTCCTTCCATCTTTGCTGTCACGGCAGATGGCACAAAATGACATGGAGCCACTTTCAGTGGTGGTCAGTCTCAGGGACTCCAGGCGTGACACTAAAAATACTTAAAGAAAACAAAACCCAAAACAGGAAAACCCACCAGGCAGGTAACCTCTGGCCTGCTGTGGCTCCTGCTGAGTTTTGGAGATTCCCTCTGTACCAGGCAGGGACCCCATGGTTGAGGGACAGCAGAGAGCAGGTGGGGGACCCTCTAAGGGGCCAGGGTGAACTGTGTGGCAGCAGTGGCTCTTTACAGGGAGAAAGAAGCACTTCCACGTGTAATGACCCATAGGAACCTCTGCTAGGGTGGGCGTCTCTAGTTATCATAAATAATGGGAAAATATTAGTGAGCCACTGAGCATGAAGTACCTTCATTTGGGAGCCCATGTGAAACTGTCCTCTTGGGGGAAATAAACAACCCCAAGTTGAAGTGCAACGACTCAGAAAAAGGTGGTGCCACTCTTTCACGAAGGGCCAGGGTAAAAGATGACCTCAGAGAGAGCCCGTGTCCAGAAGAGAGGTCTCAGGTCCACCCTGGGAGCCTGGCCACAGAAGGTGGAGCTCCTGTCCCTCCCTTCGTGGGTGCTGGTGCCTAGAAAAGCCCTGGACCCCCAGCCTCCAGCAGAAAACAGCAGCCTCCCTCATGCCACCTCTCAGAAGGTCCCTTCGATCCACTCCTGCCTCTCTCTCACGGGGATAGCACAGTCCCTGCCTGGAGTGGGTCCTGCCATCTGGCCTGGCAGAGCAAATGACAAATGAATCTGCCAGAGAATGATTTTAAGAAAGAACACAGATCAATTAGAATGAATCATGAATGGTTCTCTCCCTGTTCTAAAAGCCTTACCATTTTATTACTGATATCATCATATATATATGTCATAGAATTATTGAGATTTAGGATGGGAAGGTTCTTGAAAAATTCAGTCCAACCTCTTTGTCTTACAGCCCAGAAAGACCAAGCCATGTGCCTGAGGCCACACAGGCAGGCAGGGGCGGGGCTGGATGGAAACTCCAAAGTGCGACTGATCATTGATTGTCATCTTTCCTGACTTGAGAGGACAGGCTCCTACTGTCTCTGCAGGGATGGCAGGAAGGCCAAGGACAGGACGGTGCCTGGTGGGTTCCACGTTGCAGAGATCACCAGGCCCTCTGACAGCCCAGAGCCAGTATTTGGCTTCTGGACATATAAGCTGCTGCTGCAGCAAAGTTACGTGCAAAGACCTGGCACCAGCATTTTCGTACGGGGTCCTCAGCTGCCTCCGGCACCAATAGCCAGACAGGATGCGATGGTTCCCTTTGCACGGCAAGGGTACAGGCAGCAGAGCCACTCTGACCCGCTCTTCAGCCCCACTGGGGGCTCTTGCGGGAGGTTTCCTGAGAGCCTACCTGGGCCCATGTTCAATGGAAGTTCTTAGTTTCCTTCTTGTCAGTGTTATCCATAGAGCATCTTACAGGTTTTTCTTCCAAGGTCTTTTGCGTTTACTTTTCTGGGTAAAGACCCATCTGAAAAAGACTCCATCCTTCACATAAGCAGAAAGACAAATGTTTGGGAATTCTCAGAATGTTCCCTTGAGATGAGACAGGCTCTTCCCTCACATGTCTGCTTACACTGGGGAACTCAGGAAGGATGAGGAACCACAGGTCCCTCCGGGGAAATCTGGCTCGGGCTGAAAAGAGGTTGCCATGACCTTGCTGACCACAGTGACAGGGGTGGCCCTCGACACCCTGCTCCTGCCTCCTCCCAGGGAGTTCAGGAGGGCGGGGAAGTCCAGTTGCATGCCTTCATCACAACCCACATTTAGTTTTTTCACACTGTTCCCTTCCACATCTTCCCAGCCACGCTTCCCAGTCGCTATGAGGAGCTGGCAGCTACCCAAGAAGCAAGCATCTTGGGAGGCAGCTGCAGCGTGGCGGCCCTGGTGGACCCGGCGAAACTCAGATGCAGTGGGATAAACAGAGTGAAGTGGACAGACTCCTGCTTCCTTCTAGTAGAGAAAAGATTGTCTGCGGCAGCGGGGAGAGTGGAAGCCCTAGAACAGGGCACTGTTGGCTTCTGGTGCCAATTTGAGGGAAGGAAGCAAAAGCCCAGCAATCCTGAGGCAGGAAACACAACTGAAGCCCTCCTCGCTCAGGACCTGGGCAAGACCATCCTCCACGGCCTGCGGGCTGAGGCTGGGGCCGGAGAGAGCCAGGTCTCACCGAGGAGAGAGGCCAGATTCATAGCGGGCACGAGAACGATGGTGAGAAGATACCATATCAGTATTAGTCACTTATTTCTTTACGGGGCCTATCTAAGAGAATTACATGTCATGTTGGTTAAAACTTTAATAGAGAATTCCTTGTTATTGTTAATGATGAAAGTAGGTGGAAAAATTTTATTGATCTAGTTATGAATAAAGTTGTATTAGTTTCACATCATAAACACACATATCCTTTATTGCCTTCATCACAGGAGCACGCTAGGCTGCCACCACCTGGTGGCAGTGTACTTAAGTACAAGATCCAGTTTTGAGTAGACAAATTAACCCTTTAGAAGGTAGATTCTGTGAAACTGAGTACAAAAGTGATGGCAAATGTCACCTTAGGTTGAGCTGCATGGTTTGATGCATGAGAAACCGAGGGAACCAAGGGAATGTTGGAATGCCAGGAGGCAATGGAGTTCTAAGCAACATGCTCACCGACACAAAAAGGAGCTCTATTGATCCATCTTTTCGTTCCACCAATAGATTTTCTTTCCTCTCCTTTGGTCTTCTATCTCTTAATCACTGAAAACAGTTACCACAAAGAACAGCAATTGCTATCCACTGGACGGAAGCCATTCAGATTATTAAGATACCCCAACACTGACAAACAGGGCCAATGTCATGACCCACCTGGGATTCAAGACATTCACGACACCCCAAAATCCCAGCTACTCACCAAGGTTGTACCACATGTCTCTGATTTCAAAGCCAATCTGTCTCCTCATATCTCCATACCTGGAAACCAGGAAAAGAAAAATGCTGAATCACTCCATAGAGCACTTGAAAATCATACGAATTATTTTAAGTGCAATTAAAGTCTCCCATCACTGAGACAAATAAAGAGAGTGTCAAAGCTTCAACTTCTTTTGCCACCAAAAGGAATCAAAGGATCTAGCCAGGGGAATCTCACTTTCTCATCAGCTAGGGTTACGTAACATCTTCCCCCTTGTGGGAACACGGGGGGAGTTGTGGAGAGTGATGAAAGCATTTTCCTGTCTTCACTCTCTTGGCTCCCGGGCCTAATGGGGAGTTTGTTTTCCATGCATGTCGTTAGCATCTAGGCACCCAGACAACAAATAACACCCTACTGCATACAGTAAGCTGCTTTCCCATGTTAAAATTAAACCCAGAGTCAGGGAAGGCTCTTCCAAATTTCTCGCATTCTTCTATATCATTTTAAACGTAAGGAAGGGCTTAGCACCAAAAAATGTCAACAAATATTCCACCATTTTTGTTTATCAGGGAAAATAAATGCTAATTTTCCTCCCGGCAGGTACGCAGAGGAGGTGTGTGTGTTTCATGAGTAAACAGAATTTGATGCTTCGGAAGATAAACCTTTATTAGTTTGTGAGCCATTTAACTTTTTCTTTTATTGCCTAAGGAAAAAGCTGATTATATTAAAAATAATAATTTGCAAAATTATCCTCCAGTGTTATAGTTCAGCGGCTGTGTCACTGAGCCCACTCTGTTCATCGTTGTGTCAGGAGATGTGAAAAGGAAAGCTCTGATTACAGATGACCACATTGTGGCTCTTTTGGTGAAGGTCCTGCCCAGTAAATCAACAACCGCTGCCTGCTGCCATCTTATTAGAAAGTCTCTGGTGCTCTCAGCACCTGCCTGTCACTCACAGCCGGTTTGATAATCTCAGCCGCAGAGGTTCAGTCGCACCTGGCAGCTCTGCCATATGTGCAGGATGCCAGGGGCCTCGGCCCACAGTGTAGATGGAGAAGCTGGGTCAGCAGCTTCAGCCACTTCCTACGAGGACAAGCTAGTCCTCTGAGGTCCACATGTCACCTACAAGCCCAGCCCGGGTGAGTGCTAACATAGGTAGATTCGGTCAAGGAGGGGGATCTCAGCTGGGGAATGGGCCCCTCACCAAAGCCACAGTGAAGACAGTCCCCTATCCTCGGGTGGTGAAAACACACCAGCAAGAAAGCTACTGGACCGAGCTGGTGGGTGGCAGAAAAGCACCTTCAATGCACAGCTCGCACCCCAAACTGCCCAAGGGATGTTGACCTGAGTGCCATTAAGTGGTGCATCCTTTTGAGGCTTGCAGTGCCGGTTCCCCAATTCCCATTTTGCTCCTGCACCATGACAAAGGGACCTGGGCAGCCACTGCGGCTGGGCTGGGAGAGGATGCCCTTAGCTGCATGGTGGCCTGGCAGGTTGGCGTCCTCCCAGCACTTCCCAGGGGGTGAAAAATGCGGAAAGTAAGACTCTGCTCAAACCCAGTGCTGAGTTTTCCTCCGAGGTTAGCGAGGGTCTCGCTAGGAGGACGGGTTGCCTTCCAGCCACGCAGGCATCGGGCAAGCCTGGGATGTGCTATAGGAAGGAGGTGGCCCTGAGAACACAGACACCCCTACCCCTTGCCCCACCACCACGTGTGCAGACCCTAGACACCCTGAGGAGGCCAGAGGCCCCCAGGCAGGTGAAAGCGTTCATAGGGAGGTTGGCCTGCCCAAGCTTTACACACTCTTCTCACATCCCAGCTATACAGAAGCTTCTCATCCCGGGGTAATATCTCCCCAAAACAAGAAGGCCTGATACCATGGCTGACCTGCATCAGTGCTGTGCCCTCTGGCCCTTGACCAACTCCCCCTCTCAGGTCCTATTAGAATCAGAATGACGCACAGCAAATCCTGAAGCTCAGAAACTTAAGTACAGGGACCCTCGGCAGCAGCAGGTTTAACATTTGTGGCTTGAGTCATTCAAGAGTGACCCAGTGTAGGGATTTGCCATTTTTCCAGAGCCGACATCGCAATCTGGGTCCTGGGAGGCTTGGAGAAGGGCATCCAGTGAGGGCCGGCAGCTCCCAGGGATCCCTGGCTCCCCCTGCCCCTCCCTGCCTCTCCTTCAGGTGCTGAAGAGGGGTGAGGGGCGAGGGATTTCCATTCACACTTACATTTCACCGTCTGGTAGGTGGCACACGACGGGCCTTGGCAGTATTTGAGAACTGGGGGATTAGCAGAGATCTGAGAGCACATCCCTCCTGAGAGTCAGGCCTACGGCATAAAGGTGCTAAAAATGCTGTTTCGATAGTCAAACAAGACAAGGGCGCTCAGGCCTAGAGCAAAGGCACCAAGGAAGGGTGAGGAGCACGGAGGTGAAGGGCAGATTGGATTTCCCTGGCAGCAAGATTGATCTTTTCTCCAGTTTTAATAAGAAGGCAGCTTTGATGAATCTATACATGCCTCGGCATAATCCCCAAATAGAGTTACAGCTGTCATCAGACCTCTAGAGGCTTCCCGAACCATCTCCCTGTTCTTCCCACGGAGGAGGAAAAATGATCGTAATTGAGAGTGTCTGGGCTAATGCTCATTACCTGGAAACAGAACTCCAGAGCTGGGGCAGCCGTGGAGATCATAATTAAGTTCCTCTCTCACAATGTGTAGTTGAGGGAACTGGACTAGTCCTAGGGGAGAGAAGCAATGGCTTGGCCATCGCCACAGGGCAAGGGAGGGGAGACTCTGAGCCTTTGGTCCACAGCCAAGCTCCTCCCCCAGAGCGACACCTCCAGGACCAGCAAGGACCTCGTGAGACCAGGCAGACATTGCTGTGACCAGTTTCCCCACGAGGAAGCGAGACTCTCAGTGGTGAACTGACTCGCTGACTCCACAAAGCCAGAATGGCACGAGATGGAGCCACCTTGCTCTGCCTGACACTTCTCACCTGTGCCCACCCACAGGGTGAGCGAGCAGACATACACTCAGGAGGCAGCCCCCCGGGGAGATCCAGGGTCCCACATCCAGGCTGCAACCCTGACATAAAATCGTGTGAATTTGGTCTCTGTGGCCTAACCTCAGCACCTGGTTTCCGGCATCTTCACTTCAAGAAACAGAAAACTCATGTCCCCCAGAGACAGCCCTGGCTTGGGGGTAAGACCATCCTGAGCCTCAATATAAGAACAGTCAACCATTTACTTGACCACTCTGACCCTCAGTCTCCTCATCTGTAGTACCGGGATAATGATGCACGATGCTCAACTTCCAGGCATTTATGAAGGATGAGAGAGAGATGATGTCCCTGTTTGTCCTGGCAAGCACTCGAGCCAGGTAAGGTCCTTCCTTTAAAACCTCAGTCTGGGCTCATCACGGTTCCAATGCTTATTCAGATCAATTCATTTAGTGAACATTTACTGAGCACTTAGGCCAGACACAGGGCTAATATGAGAATGTGAATATAAGGGTATGAATATTAATACAAGAATAATAATATTAACATGATATGGAGACCAGACAAGACCCACAGACCACAGGGGGCTGTTAGCATGGTAGGGGGGGATGGATAATCACCAAATAATCACACGAGATATAGATATATTGATAGAGACAGATAGATAGGGAATTGTCTCTTTGAAGGCCATGATTATGGCTTTTTAGGCAAAACGTGAGAGAGTGAGAGAATCTAACAGGAGTTCTCTAGGGGATGAGAATTTGCCCTACGATGTGAAGCAGGAGAGTGTAATCTAAGCAAACAGGTTACAGAAGAGCACTGCGGGCAGAGGAGCGAGCAGGCGCCGAGGGCGCACAGGGACCAGAGCAGGCAGTGGGCTGGACGTGCTGTGAGCAGGGCTGCACAGGCAGACTTTTTAAAAGCCACTTTTTTTTTAAAGTTTCAAAATTTTTCTTGATATAAGAAATAACATTTACTTTATTAACTGGCACATATATTAACATATGTACATAAAAGTTTTATGAAATAAGGTTTAACCTTACTGCCTGCAATGAACTCTAATATTTTCTCTTATATTCTAGTTCACTGAAAAAAGAAAAAACAAAAACAGCTGGTCACGACTGCTGTGGGTTGAACTGCGTCCTCTATAAAGATAGGTTGAAGCCCTGTGGCCTTATTTGGAAATAGGGTCTTTGCAGCTGTAAAGTTCAAATTCGGACGAGGTTTACACGGAGGGGCTGGGTCTGAACCCAACGACTGGTGTCCTTGTCAGGAGAGGGAGACGGAGAGACACAGACACCCAGGAAGACACAGGAAGAATGTCACGTGGAGATGGGGCAGAGATGGGAGTGACGCAGCCACAGAGCACCAGGGATGGGGGTGTGGGGGGCAGCCACCAGGAGAGAGGCATGGGGCGGGTCCCCCCGCTCCAGATGGAACCAGCCCTGCCAACACCTCATTTCAGACTTCCAGCCTCCATAACTGAGAGACAATAAAGTTCTGTGGCTTCAAGTCACTGTTTGTGTTCACTGTGACGCCAGATGGACCTAGAAAACTAATACGATGACCCTTTAAGGTGACATTCTGGACCAATACAGGGTGAGACCCACGGCTTGGAAAATGCTTTCTTCAGGAGCTAGAGGAGAATGAGAAGGCCTAGGCCTGAGACTAGGGGCGCCCCATCACTCAATGTTGGATGCAAGAGGATGAACTCGCTGACAGAACAGAGATGGAAAACCCAGCGTGGAGTTCTGACAGCTAAGACAGTGCTCAGAGACCGGGGGAGGAAAACAGCACGGAGGGATGTGGGGAGAGCAGTCCAGAGGAACAAGCACCCCCGTTCCCTGATTTAGGGCTTGGGGGCAGTGCCCGCCTGGCCTGGCTGGAGGTGCTGGTGAGTGCAGGCTCTGCCACCGGGTCTGGAGTGGGTGGAAGGTGAGGAAATGAGAGCGGAAGCTGGACAGAGCGCCTGCGAGGGCTGAGCTATTTCTCGTTCTCCGGGTGGTGGAGGGGTGAGGGGCGACGGGACCAATGGGAACAAGCCTTGTCAGACACAGGTCTGATGTGACAGGGTCCTGCCTGTACCGGGCCTTGTCACATTCAGCAGGTACAACGTCACCAGTGCACGTGGGACACAATTAGCTTTTCCAACATGAAGCTGGCACAGCATTATCACTTGTTAAGTCTAACTCCCTGGGTCTCCTTCTAATTCGTGAATTTATTGTGAATAATTTGGGTCTTTTGGGGAAAAAAGACATTAGCACAGACATAAATCAAATTGATCATATTTCCTGGTACGGTCTGCAATATATAATTGCAGCTTCCGATGAGGTCACATTGCAAAACGGGGCTCGCGTAGCATATTTATTCCCTTTTAGTTTCCTTAATGGTAGTGTCTATATTTTACTGAACACATGGAGTTTCTGAGCCCCGTGTTTGGCAAGACGGAGATATTTTTGTTAGCGCAGTATTTGGGTCCGGTTGTGAAACCTGTCCTCTTAGAAGGTCGCAGACTTCTCTAGTTACAAAACAACAAAACAAAACAGGAAAATAGCCTGGGGACTGAAGGGGGAGAGGAGCTTGTGAACGGTGGTCTCCAGAGTAACCTGGGCTTTGCATCACACTTTACCCTCTTGTGCTGAAACTTTTGCATTAGCCCAACTCAGAATCCCTTCCACTCTTCCGGAACAAGGTCGGGTCCTGAACACGGAAGCTCCTCCGCGGTCCTGTGTCACATCATCCCATGTCGGGACACATGGTGTCTTGCATACTAAAACTGTCAGGCTGGCCACTCAGCACAAGTCACCTCTTTGACATTTCAGTCATATGTCCTGAGCCCCAGTAATGGCAAAGGCTGGGGCTGGGAGGGAGGTTCAGCATTCTGTTGACACCTCTGTCCTTCCTCGAGTCACGAGCACCAAGGATGTCTGAAGGGTGAGCCGGTGACATTTTCACATTATGGGCGTTGATTCCTAGGGGTTATTTCCTCTGTGGTTTACTGGCAACTCCTGCACTCAGTTCGGGTTTGACATATTCAGTTCTCTGCGTGGCAAGGCCCATTCTTTTGTGCTACTCCCATGCACTTTGGGGACTGTCTCTGGAATGAAGATTCTAATTATTTCCCCAACCTTGGTCCTCGGGAAGACACGGAGCTAAACAAGAGGGAAGGAACAGGCAGATCTTCTGATGCTGGAATTTTCTACTGGTTTGAGCCACAGTGCTGTGGAGCAGGCAGAGGTGAGGAGCTGCAGGGCTTTGCAGGAGAAAGGGAAGAGTGGGCTGGGGGTGGAGAACTTCCCACGCAGATGCCTGCGATTGGATTCACGAGCCCTATAGTAGAGGACACGCCCGTATGGAGACAGTGCTGAGGCTGCTGAATGGGTGTGACACGGCTCCACCTGTGGGTTCCCTCCTCCCAATTAGGTGACATTGCAAAACCCCAATGCACCAAGCTCCAGTGAGCTTCAAGTCGGCACCCAGCTGTTTGCTCAGGGCTGTGGGGTCGATTCCCACATCAATGGCCCCCCATGGCTGCCCCAAACTCCAAGCCCCCCAGGCCCTGCTATTCCCTTAGGTTCCAATAATCCAGAGCACCTCTTTGCTTGTATATTGCGGGCCATGCCCTTGGGGACTCTCAGCCACCTTCGCCACCCAGTCCAGAAGTACACGCTGCCAGGAGGCCTCTGGCTCCCCAGACCGAGCCCAATGGGCCCATCTCTCTGCTCCAAAGCCCTCGGTCCCCACCCTACTCATACCTACCCCACTCATTATTTTTGCTTCTCCACTGCCCCACTAGACTGTGACCTTCCTCACCATGAGATCTATATCTCACCCCTCCGTCCTGAGCAATAGGACCGTGGACTGGCTGCGCACAGAGTAGGCACTCAGTCCCTTTCTACTGGACAATTTTAAACAAATCGAAACATTTCTAGGCACTACATGTGCCTAGACAATTTAAGCATTTGGGTAGGATGTCTTAAAATATTTCTTATGCAGGTTTTGCTATTTGGAAATCAAATTTGCAGACGGATCATAAATGGTACAAGATGTATCAAGCGGCATAAAGCATATAACAAATGCAGGTGACCTGCACAGCATGTTACTGTGTTGAACACTGTGGGCAAGTGTAACGCAGGTGACCCATGTAGTTTATGCTGCGTGGCCTCACGGGTCAAAACAGGTTTATCTCAGGTGTGGAGAACACTTTGTCTTGGACATTGCGACACACAGAGCCCATGCCCCAGAGAGGCCCCTCAGACTGCACGAGGGCCTGAGGCTGTCCTGCCAGAGTCTCCTAGGGACAACTTCTGAGATGCTAAGGTTTTTGTCCCTGGGGGAATCCATGAGAACATTTCACAGAGGGACTACAGAGTCTCTCGTTACCACAGTTGTGTGCGAGAGAGGCCTAAAGCCCCAGTTAGAGGTCCTGCCCGGCTCTTGAAGGGGAGACACCAGCTGGCTGTGTTTAATTCTCCTTGGCTTTGAAGCCTCTGAATCCACATGACTATGTGAGAAGCAAACATTTCCTCTGGCCTCCAGGCTCTGTGTGGTTAACGCACTTACTGATGTTGCTTAGTTAGGCTGTTAACACTCACACCAGCAACAGGGAGGGCCCAGTGTAGAGCTACCCTGCTCTGGCTTGAGGAGTGCTCAGCATCGAATTGTTTTATTCTAACCACTGCCAAGGAGATGCCAGGTCTTTAGAGGCAGATTTCCAGCTTAAATTCACCCCTCTTCTCCCACAGGCATCTGCGAGACCAGGGAGTGTGGCGTGCTTGGCAATGAATGCATTCTGAGACGAGTTTAGATGCCAACCTTGCCCCACAGTGAGCCCTGCCCACGTGCACAGGTGGTTCCACCTGCTGTGGCCCAGCTTTCCTTTTGCAGGACGGAACAACAAGGGACCTGTGCTTCAGGGAGGTGAGCGGGCACCACGTGAGTCGTGCTGCGTTGTGCTGAGTGTGTGCTGTCGTTATTGTTTCTGCTACAATTCCCATCACCAGGGCATTTCAACTGCGAGGACAGCAGCAACCACAAGCAGCCCTCCTTCACTTCCCACAGGCCCTGAGGGGATGTAAATTTCCCAAAGCAGGAGCCTGTGTCGGGCCAGTCTCCAGAACGTACAGCCTGGAAAAGACTGTCTCTTGATGCTGTGAGCTGAGGCGAGCGATAAACACGCAGGTAGGCTCCAAGGGGGCGGGCTGTGGCTGCTGCTGCCACAGGTGGGGACCCACTTCTCCTGCACCATTCTGGGTGCCTGGCTCCTAAGTGCACTTCTCTTTTCTGAGTAATGATCACTGTTTGCATCGATGGTGAGTAGACAGGAGTTATTGAGGCAGCTTGAAAGAAAGACGGCCAGGTGGAAGTTGAATTTTAGTTAGAGGAGCACAGACCAAAGGCATGAAGGTCCTAAAAGCAGCACAGGTTAAAATATTGAGCTCTGGACACCTAGATTAGAACACTGCTTTGCCACCTTCTAGGCTTGGGGTTGGCCAAGTGACTCGATCCCTCTGCCTTACCTTCCTCATGGAAAATGAGGGTGAGAAGTGCACCTAATGCATAGCTTTGCTTTTTAATGGTTATACGTGGAAAATGCACACCAAGTGCTTAGAAAGTCACCAGTACATAGTACACACTCAGTAAATTATTTGCTGAAATACAGTCATGCTTCATTTAACGATGGGGATACGTTCTGAGAAATGTGTTCTTAGGTGTTTGTCATTGTGCGCACATCACAGAGAGTACCGCACAAACTGTACAGCCTACAGCACACCTAGGCTGTGTGGTGTAGCCTGCTGCTCCTGGCTGCAGACCTGCACAGCACGTTGCTGTGCTGAACACTGTGGACAACTGTAACACAATGGCAAGTATGTGTGTATCTAAACATAGAAAAAGGACGGTAAAAATAGCATTATAATCTTATGGGACCACTGTCATATATGTGGTCCATCGTTATGCCAGGCATGACTATAATTCTCACTCTCCAGGGATATGTGCTTTCGAGTTGTCCTGCGAGTGAGATACAGGCTCACAGAATGCTAGAAGGGCTGAGTAGCTGCCACCTCCTGAGTCTCCCTCTGGAATCTCTAACTTGGTGAGCGGTATGGAAGTGGCCTGGCCTGGGGACAGTCAGGATGTTGCAGAGGTATTATAAAGCGACAGAGAGGAACTGATGACTCGGCAGCATGGGGCAATTTCAGAACTTTCTTCAAAAGTACTTACAAAAGGGGCACCCAGAGCAGTGAGAAATTAGAGAAACTGAGGCAGAAAGATAGGCAGCAAGGCCCATATGTTGGAAGAAAACCCATGTAAGAATTTTTTTCAGTCTCGATATTGGACCAGGAGCAGTGTAGGCTACAGAGGGGGTTACAGAGCCGAAGGAGCCAGGCGAGGACCTTGGCCTGTGGGGAACCTCTGAGGAGTTTGCTTACAGGGACACAAGGGGCTGGTTCAGTCCATACACATCTCCTGCCCAGAAGACCGGAGTTCTCTGCTGCCGGGGAGGAAACCACCGACAGCTCCAAACTCACAATGAGTTGTTCAGCAATCCCAACAGTGCCAAAAGCTTTCATCAGAAGCTTCCTTTTTAGAAGCTGAATTGGCAAATTAAGCAGTAAAGTAAACCACATGTGGAATGACATCAGAATCGTGGACGGCAACAGGAATTATCTCTGGAAACTCGAATTCTGTGTTGCGCTAATAGTCTCGAATTACGTGACTTGGAGCCACCAGGGTGAATCCTGCAGTTTCAGATCTCGATTCCCGGGTGAGAAAAGGCAACGCTCCATTCATGACTTAAAACCAGGCTTTCACTGCACCGTGATCACATCTCAATCTGTACCAAGCTGGCTTAGAGACCACACGGAAATTATGCTAATCGCGATGGAGGCCGTACCGCAGCATCGCTGGACGGGAACTCACTTGTTAAGGATCTTGGCCCTCTTGGCGCTTGAGAAATTCTCCAGCTGCAAGGACTCCTGAGTGAGGAAGGCAACCGCCAGGTGAAAGTAGTTGTTCCACAGCTGAAAACCAAAAACAGGAGATGCTAAATTGTTGAACAGCTTAATACGGGATCTCAAAAATGCTGAGACATTTGTCGTTTGCTCAGCACACACTTCTGAAACGTTTACAAAAACACATCCACTACGTATTTAATATAAATTGCTAACCAGCCGCCCACGGTGTGGTTCAGGGCTGGCACGTGGGCTCTGAGGTCACAGATCATGTTCTCAAGTCCCTGCTCTGCCACTTACAAAGACAACTCAAACCTCTGTGCCTTGGTTTCCTCACTGATAAAATGTGGATTTCAACAGTATCTCCCTTCTACGGCTGCTGGGAGGATCAGAGGATTCTGATACATCTATGCAGAGCCTTTACGGCAGTGCAGAGCTGGGGGCAAGCTCTTCATAAATGTTAGCTCTTATTATAGTATTATGAAGACTGACGAATAGTACAGATTTAGATAATTTATCACTTTTTATTATACAGAAAGATCATATAAATACTAGAGAATTAAGGAAAACAAATGTAAAACGAGCAAACATTTCATATTTGAAGGGTTTATGGACTGCATATATGTGCTTTAAAAAGACAATGGTCTTTACAAGAAATTTGTGGATGTTGCTTTTCTTGTTTACAAACCAGGGATAATATTTATTATATCAAATGAGACAGTTGCAAAGAGTTACATAAAAGTAAAGTGTGAACATTTTGACTATTTTTAATTACCTATGAAGTAAGTGAGAATTTAAGAGGCTTTACAGGATTTAAGAAAGAGACCGTTGGGCTTCCATTTACACAACACTTCTCACAAACTGCGCGATTTCTGTAGTCACCCACCAGCTCGTTTGACTGCTGCAGAGCTAACCAAGGAGGTGCTGTTACCCTCATTTCACAGCTGAGACTCGGAGACTTGTCCAAAGTTACAGGTGACACAGACAGAAGGAAGGTGTGAGCCGTGTCCCCAGGCTCAGAGCCTACACTCCTTCACTGCCCACAGAGTGGCTTTCTTTTTTGGCCTCTTTTATAATGAAAGGGGTGGCTCCAGTCAATAAAATACAAATTGTTCCTTTTGTTTTGGTTTTGGGACTGACAACTCCCACCTATTTCCTCCTTGCCGCAGTGCTAGCAATACCCATGGGCCATGGTTAGCTGCATTCTGAGACTCAGCCAGGAGCCCAGCTAGAACAGGACCTATGTCTGCACGGACCCAGAATATACCTTAATTTCCACCTGCTTTATAAACAACACTAGGGGTGAGGGATGACAAATTACCTGTGGGGTGCGATGCACACTACTTGGGTTACGGGCACACTAAAAGCCCAGACCTCACCACTATACAATGAACACATGTAACGGAATGCAGCCGGTACACCCAAAATCTATTAAAATTTTTGAAAATGTAAGAAGAAAAAGAATGTAAAAAAAAAAACCCAAAATAATAAAATATGAATGCTTCCTTTTAAGTGACAACTTCACTAACTCCTAATTCTTTTTTTTCATTTATATGACCAGGACCACAGTTGAGCCAGAAGCATGCGAGACAGTAGTGCTGTTCTTAAAGGCAAACAGGCAGAAATTAAAATATGTTCAGTGTCCGTGTAGTTGTGGGTCCTGTTCTGGTCAGTGCCCTGATTGTGAGTTTCAGAGTGCAGTGGACAGTGGCCAATGAGTCCTGCTAAACCCTCTTCAAACAACACCACATACACATGTCACCCTTGCCGGGGCAAAGCTCTGTGCTGGACGGAAAGAGCCCATTGCTTTCACAGTGTTTGGGCTCACGGTGAGAGTCCAGAGAACTCTACCCACAAAACAGCAAGGAAAGGCATCAGTAACCGACATGCTGAGAAAAAGGATCTACCCCCTCTACCCAAAGCAGCCACAATTAAAAACACAGGAATCCATCCAGCAAGTCATATGCAAGACTGATATGGAAACCAACCAGAAAATCTAACAAGGCCATACAAAAAGATCTAAATACCTAAATCCTGCAGTATAGGATGGAAAAAAAAAAAATAAATGCTGCCAAATATTCCCTCGAATACCATAAAATTTCCCCCGAATTTATTTATGAATTCAATGGAATTCCAATTAAAATGTGAGGGGCATATTTAAAAAAAAAAAACTCAACTAGCTGATTTTAAACATCATATGGAAGAGGAAATGCACAAAAATAGCCAAGATAATTTTTTAGTAACAAACTAATGGGCATGTCTTGACTGTACGAGCTGGGTAAAAAGGTATAGCGATTAAGCCACGAGGGTAGTAAGAGAAAATATAAGTGATATATAAATACATCTGCAATTATGTTAACTACAGCATTTCAGATCACTGAGGGAAGATGTAACCTATTCATGAAGTGATGTGGGGAAATTTGAAGTTAGACCCTTACCCCTAAGACAAACTATGGAAATCTCAGATAGATTAAACACCCAAAAGTAAAAAACAAACAAAAAACCCCCCTCAAAACTATAAAGGTATTAACAGATTCTAACTACATAAAAACAAATTTATATTATAATACTGAGGCAAGGAGAGATTTGTCAAGCAAAACATAAAACGAAATAGTTACAAAAGAAATGACAGATTTGGCTACAGAAGAATTAAATATTTCTATACGACAAGTATAAACACATGACTAGGCTATATCAAGAATTCCAACTAATAAAAAAGGAAGACAAACAGCCCAACAGAAAAACAAGCAAAGGAAATGATCGGACAGTTTACAGTAAAAACCACATAGCTGGCAATTATTCTCAGGCTAACTAGTCATTGGAAAATGTCAATAAAAACAGGAAATAACAATTTTCAAGAAATTAGTATTGAAGAACATTCTAGAAAGTGGCGTTCCTAAGGAAAGTTGGTGGCATTGCAAATGGCTAAATCATTTTAGGAGGGAACTTTCTCATTGTCCATCAAACTTAACACTTCATACCACTGGCCTGCAGATCAGTGTGTGCTACAGCAGCGCACCGCAGCCCTCAGGGCAGCACGGCTTGCGAGAGGGAGAAACCGGAAACAGCCTATAGGCAATCAGTACAGAAATGTTGAATAAATGTTGGTACCTTCATACTGTGGACTATGACAGAACTGAAAAACACATGGAGTATGATCTGGTTCATGTTAAAGGCCAAAAGAAAACATGCACAGCCCCACATAAATGCTTATAGCATCAGGAAGAGCACACAACAATTACTTAAAAGTAACCCCTGCGGAGGGGGAATGAGAGTCAGCAAAAGGGTAGGAGGGGTTATTTCATGCTTTGTCTGATATACTGAGTTACCGTAAATGAATAATGAAAAATATTTGTTATGATTTATGAAAACAAGCATTAAGTAGAGAAAATGATAAAAATTAAAATTATAAAAAGGAACATTTCTAGATATATAGTGCCTGATATATTATTATACAATTATTTTCTATAATGTTGATAAAATAGAAATTTAAAATTAAAAAATTATAAAAGAAATAAAGGCAGTGCAGGGCATGGTGTGCACACCTGTAATCCCAGCTACTTGGGAGGCTGAGGCCAGAGGATTGCTTAAGCCCAGAAGTCCAAGACCAGCCTGGACAATATAGCAAGACCCCATCTCAAATTAAAAAAAAAAAAAAAAGAAAAAGAAGAAGGGCTAGCATAGGCACCTTAGAACTTAATCTAATATACTAAGTATCACATTAGCTCTAAATTTTCTGGAGCCAACGGCAACAGGAAAGTCGATGGCTATCTAATTTTTGTTATCTGGTAACACGTTTTTGTGCTGGATCACCAACTGGGTCTACATAAATTCTGCAGGTTCCTTCTCAGTGAATAATCTTGCCCAGAAAATTAACATGCCATTTGCATCTGGGTGCTTTTTTCCCCTAATTTGCAAACTTTAGTAAAATAAACTAAGTCATAATAATGACAAATAAAATCGTTATTAGCAGAAACATATCCAGAATATAATGGAACCGAGAGCCCCAAATCCCAGATGCACAGTAAGAAATCCTGCCAGGCAAAACCAACCCTTATGGTGAGCGTGCACATGTGCGCACAGGCACACACACACTGCATGCACGGGGAGCACCTGAAACTGATGGACCAGCTGGCGGCAACCCTGCAGTCTAGCGGTAGGGTCTTTGGCCCCGTAAAAGCCACTGCGGGTAGCACAAAGCCGGGAGAGAATACCAGGGGAAGACAGTTCCCAAAGCGAGCTGAGCTCAGTAATGCAGACTCACTCTTCCTCCTTGGCTGGCTCTTTGCTCTCCACAGTAGGAGGGACTGAGACAATCTTGGCAGGCACAGTCACCGAGACTCCAGGGCCTCCCTGCTCAGAGTCCCTCCTTGTCACTCTGATTCAACAGTTTCTTTCTGAAACAACCCTATCTCATTCCTTGCTAAATTGAGCAAATACCCTGAAGGGATAATTTTCATTCCTCAGGTTCCAATAGTATGTATTGTAAATTCCATTTCTGTGCCTCGGATGGGAGACCAATTAAGTTCAAGGATTAAAAATTCTATAACATATTGGCACAGACCCGCAATTTGTTTTAACGCGACTTCTCCACAAAGGTCGTGTCTACCTCTTCTCTTACCTGTAGCTCAAAGTTGGCTTGATCCAGAAATTTTTTGTTCAGCATATCTGCATACTGATTAATTGCTCGCAGGAAGACTCTGAAAGATCAAGAGAAAATTACATAATTACACACTTACGCTCTGGCGCTTTGGTAGGTTTGGCATTTCAATTAGATACAATCCCAGACTGTCTGGAATGTGAACTCTCCAAATCTGGCGCAAAACTGTGAGGTTTTGCCAATGAAAAGCCTACAGAATTATATGTAGAAGTTCTCCAGATTAATCAAAGAAATTATCACATGCAGAATAAAAGAAAAAGACCAAAATAACAGCTTCTGAAAGTCACATTTGAAAAGTATCACTAAAAAAAAATCTAATTTAAAAAAAAGGAAGAAAGAAAAGGTGCAAATTAAATCCTTTTCTCAGGTTGTGATGTCTTAATGTTATATCATTAAATTGATCTTTGCTTAGCGGCTTTTTAAAGTCACACATGTAAAAGCTGTCTCACACAGGAGCTATTACGCTTGCAACGGCTTGGTGCAGTATCACCAGTACAGCTTACCACTTTAGTGTCATTTGTCCTACACTCTGCATGCTAATTTTGATCACTACTTACTTGTTTAAGGTGAATTAAAAAGCTTTAGCAAATATAAAAGTGATGACAGTAATTTTAGCAAGAATTTTAATTCCTAGATTCATTGGTAATATACAATTTTAACATCCTTCAATAACCATGACTTTTACTTTTTTATGATGAAATATGCAAGTCTGGCTGTCACAAATGACTCCAGAGTACTGTCTTTCACAGGCTTGTTCATTCAGTAGATTTGTTTTATAACCCTGGAAACTGTCGACAGTGCTAAAGCTTAGTCCAGCTACTTTTTCAAAGACCCTTCTCCCTTTGCACAAAGGCAGGATGTAAGAGGAATTAGCATTAGGTCACAGATAATAAACTTAATTACACTTTCTCTATTTAGACAGCAGGAAGCAGCCAGAGTGTAAGGGAAATCTAGGTTACTTACTAGTAACTGCTGCTCTCTGACAACATTATCTCTTTAGCTAAGTGCCCTGGAGAAGCTCCCCATGCCCTGGCCATCTCAGAGCCGCTAAAAGGCAGCGCCAGGGAGAGGGGAAGAAGGATTCACCACCTGGGGTTTTAAGGAGATCTCTGCCACCACCTGCCACCACCAACTCCTGCATAACACCCACCGTCATTGCAGACTCTCACACGTATACAGCATGCAGCACTAAGACAGGGATGTGCAGACATCACTTCATCAAGAAACCTATCATCTGGATCTAGGACCAAAACAGCTGTGACCAAGGGCCCGTGACAGGGTTTGCTATCTCAGTCACTAAAGAAAAACTGCAGATGGAGTGATTTGAGTTCTTCCCTGGGGACATTAAGATATAACCAGAAAGGAGGAATTAGTACCTTTAAGTGAGCATTAATGGAAGGGCATGGGGAGCACTGCCTTGTCCATTAACCAGGAGCACAGACTGGGCGGCAGCGGCCATCAGCCACAGGTGTGCCAGAGGTTGCAAATATAGGATGCCCAGTTAAATCTGAAAAATAGCTCTTATTGCTGAATTCTGTCACTGAAAAAAAAAGTCAAATATAGGACATTTAGGGCATCCCGACAAATGAATACGGGACCCAGGACAAAAATGACAACGTTCAGGGCATGCCTTGTATCCACAGGATGTCTGGCATCTCCAATCAGCTTTCCAGTCTCGGGCTGGGGTCTGTTGTATCATGTTCAGCCCTCAGAAGTACAGGATACGAGCTGCAGAGATGTTCTGCCTTCCCCACCTGAACTTGGCAGCTGTGTTCAGACAGCCTCTGGGGACGTGCACTGTGTTAACCCCAGGAACCACGGAAGATCTCCCAAGTGTCAGTGGGATACAACAGCTTCCCGTCTTGACAAGGGAGGGCTCTCATGAGGCACGAGAATACTGGGCTATGACCACTCACACTTTTTTGTTTTCTCTTAATTTTAGCCTTCAGCTTTAGAACTCTGCTATTCACTAAGGCAGCGGTCCCCAACCTTTTTGGCACCAGGGACTGGTTTCATGGAAGACAATTCTTCCATGAGACAGGGTCGGGATGAGGGGAAGGCAGAGCTCAGCGGTGATGTGAGCGGCGGGGAGCGGCTGTAAATACAGACAAAGCTTTGCTCGCTCACCTGCCCACCCCCTCACCTCCTGCTATGCGGCCTGGTTCTGGTTCCTAAGTTTCATGGAAGACAATTTTTCCACTGACAGAGTCAGGGGGTGGGTTGGAGCTCAGGCGGTGATGTACCACCTGGTTCCTTACAGGCCTTGGCCCAGGGATTGGGGACTGCCACCCTAGAGTACTCTAGGTCCTTATGAGCTTAAAGAAGACACTGTCCAGCCCTCCATGACAACAATGACAAATTTACTAGAGCATGCATCATTATTACAGGGTAATTATTTTGTCTCAAGATAGCACCCAAATAGTTGCAGTATGCTACTTCTAACTGAGCTCTGGAACAATTTTGGCTAGTTAAATATATTTCTTAAGATGATTATTTTTTAAAAAAATATGCCATGCTCAAATAATATGAAGGTTCAACAAAAACTTCCTAATGAACTGACAGCTGAGAAAGTGCAGTGCTGAGAGCAGATTCTATAATTTAGATTACCCATAAATGTTTTAAAAAGCCAGGGCAAAAAACAAATAATGTGGAATGCACGTAGCATGAGGGAAACGAGAGGAAAGATCAAATAAAAAACATAATCAATGCGGTAAACAAAGACAAGCAGCAGCTCAGGATCAATCAATCGAGGGCTGTGTCACTTCCACAGAATCATCCGGGACATGCAGAAATTATATCCTGCAGTTTACACTTGGGGTTAGAAACAGAGCTAGGCCCCTGAGTCCACTTGAGGATAAATCGATTATCTAACCAGACACAAAGAAACATGCACAAAGACTTTTAGGTAAGAATATCTATTATCTACTGTAATTCATAAGTTATTTCCAATAAATGTCAAACTAGGGAAAATAAATAAGAAAAGCATATTAGAAGCTTTTACATGGCAATCTGCTTACAGCTGCAGAGGAATCACGAGCTATGCCAAGCGTCTGGATGGCAGGATGCCTCATGAGACCAAACGAAGGGCTCAAGACAGCTCAAGATCACAGTCCTCTGCGAGGAGGCAATCGTAGGGGGGCCGGGGTGTGAATGGGCTTGCCTGTCTCCGCATCCGGATGACTCTATCTGTGCTGGACGCTGTCGGGCCGGGTAGTGTTAGGGAAGCTCTCCAGACTGTGTCACTAGCAGGTATTGCAAGGGCAGTGACCACGTCTGCTTGTTCACCCAAGTGCCCTCAATGCCAAGTCAGCTTCTGGCACATGGTCTCTGCTCACTAGGTAACTGACACAGGAATGAATGAATGAGAGGATGGATGGATGGATGCATGAATGAGCTGGCCCAGAAGATCAGGCTCCAAATTGGAGGGCTCAAGGAGGCTAGAATATTTGATGGCCTCTGGCTCTCCCCAGAGTCCTTGCATTCTGTGTAGGTTTTCTGTAGTGGGATCCAGCTCTTTTTAGGTTCTCATTATCCAAATTTCTCATTAGGCATTTGGCGTCTGTGGCTGGTAACTGTTCCCTCATCCTCTCCACCTCCAGAGCTTATTCTCTCTTCTCCTTTTCCCTCCTGGAACTTGCGCCTTGATGGCAGGAACCTTTTCTTTTACATATCAGGACCACCCAGTGCAGCCAAAACGTCTCCTTGCCACTGTGCATATCCTGGAATGCTTTCATCTTAGGAACCGTGAGTTTATTACTAACAGAGCTCTCTGAGTCAAGGTATGTCCAGAACCTCCCACAGTCAAAACAAAACAAAACAAAAGCTCCCGGAGCCTGCTCCAAGGAAGAGGTGGAATCCACCCTCTGGCAGTTGGGTTTCTCTTGATTCTGTCCATCCAACACTGTGGTGTGTAGGCACCAGGACACAGTGAACAGAGGCCACACGTCACGCAGGGAGCACGAGAAGATGCTCCCGGGACCGGGGACGGGGGTAAGGAGGGCACAGTGCATACAGGTGTAACTTCTGCTCCCCCAGCAAATGCTCGAGAGAAGAGACCAACCACCCTGTGGACCAAGCGCAGTATGTCTAATTCAGAGCCAGAAGAATTCAGTAATTTCTAAAAAATCAAAACTCGCGGTGTGAGAATTAAATGCTTTCATAGATGCTGTCACAAATGGTCAAAATGATTGAGAAAAAGGGTAAGCCTGTATTTAATAGAGTCCTTTTCATTCATTTTTAATCTATGGATGGATTTATTCATAATCTAAAATTTCAGGAAATGAAACCAAACACATAAATAAATACGGCAGAAAGTGTCACAGGCAAATTACGTCATCTGAGAAAGATTCAAAAAAGCCATGAGGTCTTAGAAGCCTGTAAATTTTATTTTTTATGGCCCGATGGAAAGAAACATCATCTCCCTTTTCTTGGTAACCACTTCCTGTCTCTGGGAAGTGAGAAGCATCATCTTTATGAAACCTGCCATGTCATTATCCATTTTTAAAAACGTGAGGCCAATGGGAAATGCTGACAGTTCATTCCCCGGCCCAGGCAATTAAAACAACAAAAAATTTGGAAAGTTCTCTTGACTTCCTCCTCTCCACTTAACCCTGTAGCTCCCACGAGACATGAAATACTGTTCCTTTCTGACAGTGTCAAACATGAGTGTAACTGTAGCCTCCACAAACACATATTTATACAATTAAAGTCTTAATTCAATTTTATCTATCAGTCTACTACGGCTTCATGTCCGTGTAAACAGTAAGCTACACGACCTTCAGAAAGTTGCTCAACACCACAGAGAAATGATGAGCATGTGAGGTATGGATATGTTAATTAGCTCACTCCACAATGTATACATATATCATAACATCACATGGCACACCATAAACACATACAATTATTATTTGTCAATTAAAAGTAACATTTTTAAAAAGCAATGTTAAAACAAACAGACAGAGTTGCTCAAATCTCCAAGATTCTCATATTTCCCACCAACAAATGAAAATACTAAACTACAGCCTCTGAGCTCCCTGGAAC